CATTTCACATTGATTATAGCAGATGTTTCCCTCCTTCAATATGTAAAATTTTGAACAGGGCACAGTGGACTAGGAGGTAGCAAATAACAAAAAGAGGAAGAAATTATCTTACTTTTTCAGTGTAGCTATGACACTGTTATTCAAGGGAATCCAAGGTCTTCATCTACATCCCTACTATCTGGTCACGTTGCTCCTTATAGTGAATTAAAATGCCTTGATTGGATCTTCTTAATTTAAAAACAATGATCTCCCCAGATTCTCACATCCATATTAGCTGTCTAGTATTAAAAAAATCAGAACTATTATCTTATGCTTTCTAGCCTCAAATTTCATATACTCAAGTAGGTGAGGCCATTCCACTTAGTATGAAGAATATTAGACTTGAAGGTCCAAAAGCATTATTTCATTCCCAAAGTAATCCCTTAAAACCTTTTGAGACTCAATTTCCCCATCTCTAACAGTAGGTTGTTGTGAGGATTAAGTGAGAGATTATAAGTAAAACTCCTGATATATATATTGGGCATTCTATGAATGCTATTGAACCAAAAACTCTCTAGGCAAGAGAAGGGTTAGCTCACATTTCATCTCTGGTGGTTGCTTCTACAAACATCTAGCCATTTGAGACCACAAAAAACAGCCATTCTTGCTCAGTGATAGCTCATATTGATGTATTAAACATTCTTTAGGAACAAATCCCACTTAACTTTCTGAAATCAAAATAATGCTAGTTTCTTCAGATATTTCTCATTAGACTCATTTTCAAATCCTTCTATATTTCTTTTCTCTAAATTCTGTTTTAATGGCTTCTTTCAAATTATGAAGCCTATGATAATCTTCATTTTCCATGGTACTTTGCTAACTAAAAAATACACAGCTGGGCAATCTAGTATACTTGTTGAGGTACCTTGATAATTAGTATTCCCATTCTGAATTCTAAATACATTAGTGCATGTGGTTAAAGTTTGTGTATAGCTAAATATCTTCCATTATAATATGTGTTGAAAAGTACCAAAGCTAATTTTTCTGTTATCTTTCCTATGTCTTAAACAAGAATGTTTATATTTGATACAAAAGAGAGGTAGGTCTAAGACTTAGATCATCTCCAAAATTCATGATGAAAATATATTAATTATTCAACAATTCAAAAGTATTTATTTAGTATGTAATCTGTCTTTCTAGAATTGGATGGGAAATAAGGAGGGAGAGATAATTACCAATGATTGAGACAGATTTTTCAACATATTTGTGTCTTCTAAATATCTAAAATTATCTTTTCAAACAACAAATGTCATTTTTACTTCAATTCTTTTCATTGGGTAATATAGCAAATGTTATTACATGATATAGGCACTAATTATAAGAAAAATTTTCTACTAATAAATATTATAATGAAACCACACTTTTATAATACTTGGTAACTAGTATTTAGCTTCTCTAAAGACACTTCCTAAGGAAAACACATTGGCAGTGTGTTTGGGCTCCTACAACAAAATACCTGAGACTGAATAATTTATAAATAACAAATATTTTCTGGACATGGTGGCACACACCTGTACTCCCAGTACACAGAAGGCTGAGGCAGGGAGATCTCAGGGAGTTTGAGGCCAGTCTGGGCTACATAGTGAGTTCAAGGACAGATTAAATTAGACAGTGAGACCTTGTCTCAAAAAGAAAAATATATACATACATACATACACATACATACATATATAAATAAATAAAATTCTTAAGGCCTGGAGGTTTGAAAATCAAAAATGAAGGCACCAGCAGAATTTGTATCTGGTGGGAGCTCACCCTCTACTTCCAACATGGCACCTTGTTGCTGTATTCTCATATGCAAAAAGGGAAGAACAGCGCCTCTGTGCCTTTTTCTTTTCTTTCTTCCTTGTGGTACTACAGAGAACCCAGGGCTTCTCACTGCATCTCCACCTCTCTCCATCTCCTCATAATTTTTTAAACTTTTTTTTTTTTGAGACAGTGTCTCACTAAGTCTGTAAATTGTCTAAACTGGGCTCAAACTCATCATGATGCTGCTGTTCCAGACTCCCAGAATGCTGGGAGTATGAGCCTATGCTACCACACCTGGCTCTTTAGACTTTTTTTTGATAAGGTTGCTGTCTTAGTTACTTTTCTCGTTGCTGAAACAAAATACTCAACACCCAAAATTAAAGGAGGAAAGATTTATCTGGCTCACAGTTTTTGGAGATTTCAGTTCATAATTTGCTGACTACAAGGCAGGGTGGCATGGCAGAAGGGTATAGCAGAGGAGAAAGAAATCATGGATGGCAGAAGATAGCAAAGCAGCAAGCAGGCAAGCAGTGATCCTGATCTTCTTTCAGTCCCTTATATTTTATGCAGGTTACCTGTCCTTAGGGTGGGTAGCATTCATACCCAGGGTGGGCCAACCTTAATCCTACCCAGAACAATGTCAAACCAATCAGTGGACTAATTTAGTAATCACACACCCTTGATCCCAGCATCACATACTCCAGATACAGCCACCTCTGAAAAGCCCCAAGTATGACTGCATCAGGCTTTGGGGGGAGATCTATACACAAGCCATAACAGTCACTAATCCCATCATAAGGTACCACCCTCAAGATTTAATTTTCTCCTATAGAGGAGAATGCTATCTATCACCTTGGGGGTTAAGACTTCAGCATATAATACCACCATAGGGATAGAGGATAAATTCCTGGGCCCCTGAACTTGTTACTTATTAAAAGCATGATTTGCAGTCAGGGACTTAAAAATGGTTTTTGCTAAAAACCACGATGCTTCACTTGGGCCTGCCAATGCCCAATAGTTAACTAAAAGTACAACAAACTTTGATCTTCATTTTGTAAAACTCTGAATCAAATCTTTTTCATCTCTGCATACAGTTATGTCAGCCATTTAGGGAACATTTGCCTAAAAGTTAGCAAAACAAGGTTTATCAGACCTAAACATACCTAGCCTATCTGATTACCCTTCAAAACTGTTAACACCAGTAAGAGATTTATAGAGATACTCAGCTATGCCCAGAAATCTCCACTGGCCTAAAATCTATAGTCACCTTGGATTCCAGCAGACTCACATGACTGAAACTGACCCAAAGAAGACAATCATCTCATATGAACCAGACTGCTTCTCACATCATAAGGATTCATCTCATGGGAACAAAGCTACCCACCAAGTCATGCTGGTTCCCCCAGAACTACAAAACCAGGACTGAGATAATGACTGACCAGTCTCCAGGCCCCTTGGGATACCATAAAGCCGGTCCCTTTTCTTCATTAATTGTTCAATCTGTTCCACTGCCTCCTTCAGTTTGAGAAAATATCTTTTATCCTTCTATTGTCTCTCACTTTCCTTTGTTAGAGGAACTGGCTTGATCTTTGTCAGAGCTGTGCTCCCCTGTATTTTCTCCTACTTTCCAATTAAAGCTTTTTCTGGAAATTCATGTTGACTCAGTTTTAATATGCATTATCACTGAAGCAAAGACGTGTGCTATCCTATAACAACCACTCCCTGCTGCCATAGCAGGAAGCTGGCTGGGGCTTGCATTCTGTTGAAGCTTGTTCCTAATCATCTCTTTGTTACCCTTTTGTGCATTCTTCCAAAGTACCTATAGAAAGTAGAATCCAGACCTGCTTAACCTGCAAGAAGCCCAGCCATCTGTGATATTCTGGCTCTTCTGGCTCTTCTCCTTTTCCCTGTCTTGACCATTCTAATGCAAAAGCCTGCCCTGGGACCTGTTGAACCAGCCTAAAAACGATGAGCCAGGTCTAGGACCTTTGTTCTCTCTTAATTACCTATCTTTTTTTCTGATGATTATATCTTTTAAGTCACTAAAAGGTTAGATCCAATAAGCTGCTTAACTTTCGGGTACAGGTCATTTAGAATGAGTCACCTTAGATAAAGAAATTTTCCTTAATATTCCATCTAACAGATTAGAAATTTATGTATAGGTTTGAAGCCAGAGCCATGGCTGGTTATAATACTGCCTTGTTTTCTTTTTTTTTTTAAATGAAGTTTATTGGTACATTTAAAGCAAACAATACAGTTACAGTTATCATTAGGATCTTGTACCTTTACATGATATATCTTGGTTCTTGTTTTTTCCCCCATTACCCTGCCCTCCCTTCATCCCCTTCACCCTTCCCTAATTACAAAGACTTTGTTTCCATTTTTTCTTTTCCCTTATTTCCTTTCCCGTCTCCCCTTCCCACTTCCCCTTTAGCCATTTTGTTTTTCCTATTTCACCCTCTCAATTCTACCTTGTTTTCTGGTCACTGATGTGAGTATATATTTTCCTTACGAACCTGGGAAAGTGGAGAGACTATGGCAGTTCAGAATTTACAATACATATTTTGGGTTCCTTACATCAAAAACTTTATCAATACCTCTCTTTACTAGCATCTCCAATTCACTGTTGCCAACAGCCAGATTTTTATAAAGGTTCTAAAAAGCCACAGATATCTTTTAAATGTTTGAACTTTAGATGAGATGTTATAAAAGTATCTTTGTTCTGCATGAATGATGCACTGTAGCTGGATAAAAGGATTCATTCTAAAAAGAGAACATTGCCCTTCTGCACCACGCCAGAATCCACTATTTGCCTTAAAGACAGCATCACCTTCACAGAGGATAATAATCACATATATATGCTCACAGTCACAGCTCAGCTTGATGTTTTATGAATCTTTTATAATACTTTTTAAATGCTCTTTTTATAACTGATTTCTAAAATATTGTACAAAAATGTCCTTCTCTTTCCTACTTCTCTGTTCTATCCCTCAAAGGCCAGTTTTATTCTACCATAAATAATTGGTTTATGAAGAAAATACAAAAAAGAATTCATTTTGTCCATGTTTACCTTCAAGAGTAATAGTTTCAGACCTGCTACTCTATTTTTATTCATGAATATTCCCTCATTGGGAATTATATACGTCAGAGTTCAGGTGATACAGTCTCTCCAGACTGTCCTGGGAGAATCTGTGCCCAGAAACCTGCCTTACCTTTAGTTGAACTAGATGTACGTCCACATGCTTGCTGTCTGAGTCCTGCTGGACTGAGTAGGTTAGGTCTCGGACCCTCTCTGAGGTCATTCGGAGCCAGGTCTCAATTTCAGGTAAATGAAGGACAATCTTCCAGTCAGCCCCTGTATGTAATGGGGGTGGTTTTTCGTATTGCTGGTCAGAATCTACGTCCTTCATGGTCTCTTCTCCTCCCGGCTCCACAGTGGGTGTCATGTTGATGGCCATGGGTGAAGCATCAGTAGCCATGGGATCCAGGTCCTGTGACCTCAGTGGGGAGAGTGTCACACTCATAGTTAACATGGAGAATTCTAAACCTTACTTCTTTCCAAAACAGCTGAAAGGCAAGAGGAAAGAAGAAAGCAAGAGTCAGAAGAGACTGCCAAATAAAGAAATGATACTTCACAGAAGAAACAGGATTTCTAAATTAAGCTAGATTTCTAAATTAAGAAACCGTTCCTCATAACAAAAATACAAAGAGATATTTTGATTTTCTGCATAGTAGAGCTGAGAATGAATACATAATAAAAACACAAAACTATAGTGACATTGTCTACCCAAACATCCATTCTCCCCTCACTCTTTAGTAACCTAATATTGAATTTTAGCTATGAATATTCCTGCTGAACGTTTTAAACTATGTTTCCTATTTCCTTTGCAGCTAGATGTGGTCATGTGGCTAAGTTCTAGCTAATGAGAAGTAAGCGAAAATGCTATGTAAAAATTCTGAGAAAGCTGTTGAGCTGATTCAGTGAAGGGGGGACCCCCTTTCTACCCTTCTGCTTTTTCCTCTTATTCGAGCCTATAATGTGGACTTGATGGATGGAAGAGCTCCCGCTGTCAATTCATATGCAGAGATGTTTTTGAGTATGCCCAGGAAGGATGGTGGAGCACAGAAATGGAAAGTAGGTCCCATTCAATAACACAGAGACTGTACCAGTCCTCACTGAAGCCAGCTCTTGACTTCTTTCATGTGAGAAAGAAAAACAACTTCTCTTATTTAAGCCATGACTTGGGGAGCTTTCCTACTATCAGCATCCAAACATCATGTTTAGTATAATCAATATATTCAATATATGAATAGCTAGGGAAGGAAGATGTTCTAATTACCAAAAACATTGTGCTGAGTTCAGATACTGCTCATTTCTATGATTTGTTAGATAAGTAGTTATCACCAATTCCAAACCTTTACTTTCATAAAATGTATAAATCATAGATTATATCAAATAAATATGATTAATACTCAACCTAAATTATATTAATTTTTGGTTATACTAAATTTTCAAGGTCTTGTGAAATTTCAAGAGTAATTTACCTGAAATACACTATAGTAGAATGTTAATCAAATAAATAAAAATAACAAGTGTAAGTCAAAATAAAGTATCTTTTTTAAAATAAAGTTGCTTAATTTACTAATGACCCTGCCACTGAATTTATCTTTCTTCTGGAAGCAGTCTAATATAAAATAACTTTTAGGCTCTTGTACTTTAAAATAAATATTAGAAACAGATGTTATTTTTAGCTTCTTCTACTTAAGGCAATGGACTCTTTGCCTTTTACAAATTTTTCCTGATTTTACATATTCAAGTTAGTTTGTAGCTTCATTGCTACAAAGATGAAAAGTGGCTAATCAAAAGATCATAAATTTAATGTGACTGTCAGAGAGTAGCTCATTTCTTTGGATTCTTAATATTTACTTATTAACCAAAGAAAAATTATTTTTACCTACAGAAATAGTGGATAAATCAAAACAGCCCTGAGTTTGACTAGAAACGTGTAACTTTCCATAAATAAATGGGCACAGGGAATAAAAAGAATTGTTCAATCAATAAAAGCCTTAAGAATAAGTTACTTCTATGACACACCATTTCAGAATCCTTCCAGCACTACTGTGCAATCATCTTTTCTAATTTCTTGAGCATCTAACTTTCGAATTAAATGACAAGGAAGTTTACAGATGAATTTCTGAAAGCAAAGTTATTTTTTAAAAAGTAAAATATATTTTATAAGTAGTCTTTATCACTTTGGTGCTTGTCTTAGAGAATGCTTTAGATTTCCACTCAATAGATTGCTCTGCCCAAATGCAAGGAAGAAAAAAAAATCTACACTACGTATTTTTAATTATTTTTACATTTTAAGTACTATTATTAGTATTCTAGCTGATGTTATTATTGGGTGTTTTGAGCCAAGGTCTCACTATTTAGCCCACATTGGCCTTAAACTTGAAATCCTACTGCTTCAGCGTCCTGAACTGCAGGTGTGTACCACCATGTTCAGCCTATTGTACAGTACTACTGTATTGTTTGTTTTTATCCTAATACTGTGTTCTGTATTAATGATAATAATAGACTTGGCTATTTAAAAGAGTAGAAGGCAACAAAATTTCACCTGAAGAAATAAAACTCCAGGAAGAGTGAATTAACATACTTTTCAAAAATCATGCCCCCACTACAGACTCTGATTCTGATTTCCCAAAATCAAATTATTAATAGATTCATTGCCCTTCTCTAGGTTTAGAATCACAAACCTACAGTAAGATTCTAATACAAAAGGTTAATAAAAGTTTCTAGATCTAGAACACAGAACTATTTGATTATAAATAAACAACATATTAGGGTCAGAGAAACTCCTTCTAAGAAACTAAATTCATTCAAGAAAACAACTAAATTCTAGGGGTTGTATGCAATAAACTCTTTCAGCTGCAACCACATTCACCTGCATAAATGAAAGATAGTTGACCACTGTGTTCTCTCTGAAACTCATAAGTCAAGGCAGGGCTGTCTGTGAAATATACATCCTACTGTAAACTAAAGAACATACCAAAGAGTTAGCTCAGTACAACGATGTCCCAACCTACAACATTTCCACACATACCATCAGGCTATGAACTGTGCTAAGCACAGTGCACTTTTATGTAACTTGAGGCAAAATATTCCATATTGCTGGGTCTCAGTTGCCTAATCTGCAAAAATTTTTAAATGAACTAGATAAATAATGAGATCTTATCTAGACCTAAGAATCTGTGACTGCCCTGGTGGGAGACCTTGGAGGCCTCCATGGAGAAACCACCAGTGGAGCAGAACAGTGGATGCTATGGGCTGTAGCAGCTAGTGAGTGACTCCAAGCCAAATTTCCCCAGGATCCAGTGATTGACTAGACCATTTTGGAGTGGGGCTAGCTGAATGTGGGACTCAGAACAGCCATCAGATGGCTTCATCTCAGGGATCCAGTGTCTAGGTGAGACATAGCTATGGGAGATGTCCGCAGTCAGGGAGCCAAGGTCAAGCCAGCAAGAAACACCCATAGTGATGTGGATGGAACAACCTGGGTCACAAGCCCACAACCAGAAACCAGGATCAGCCTGACCTTGCAAAGTTGAATCTGCACCACACCCTATTTCTATTACAGGTTTTCTAGGCTATGCTTGATGCTATTGTTATTAATGATTAATATTACTTTAGCCAAAATGATACAGTTCTTCTAATCAGTTGTTCTTCCTTTTGTGCCAAGTTTGAGATTTCCAAGGATAAAAAATGATACTATAGTCCAGTACCAAAGAACTAGGGGCTACACCAGATAGGCAACATTTCATCCTTAATAAATTGAATAGGATCTTATAGCAGACTTAAAAGCCAAAAGCCAGCTATACCTGGAAACATCTCAGAAAAGTAGTCACTTCCTAAGGAGTTCTTCATATTAGTAATAAAGCCATCTACCATCAGCAATTTATAAGAATAAATGCACATAATAAATTTTAAAAATAGAAAATGAGAAGATATGGAAGCAAGATGCAACCCCAGAACTCCACTCACCCAAGGTAAACCTGGGGGCACTGAGGTGAAAAAAATCAAAAGCCACCCACCTGAACTCTTTTAAATGGTAACAATGGAAGTAACAAATGATGAATGAGGCTCTAAAAAAATCAGAAATAATTTCTTAGATAACTAAAGAGATAATGACCACAATGAAGGATATGGTTAGTAAATCTAGAGTAGATACAGACCAAAAAAAAAAAAAAGAGAGAAGCTTAGGAAAATGATAGAAATCATGAATGCTCACCCAACATAGGAAGAAATGGAATTTATGAAACAAATTCAAACAGATATCCAGAAGATTAAAAATTCTATTAAAAGTACACACAGCAGAATCCACAAATGTGAGGATAGAATATCAGATCTAGAATACAGCTTTGTAGCTATCAACCAAAAGAAAGAAAGAAAGAAAGAAAGAAAGAAAGAAAGAAAGAAAGAAAGAAAGACTTCTTAACAATAGCTAGGGACCATGAAAAATAAATCCAACAGCTGCTAGATGATTCAAAGAAGAATAACAAGATTTATCAGAGTCAATGAAAAATTAAGAGTAAAGGACATTAAAAAAACTGTTCATAGAAGTAATGGCAGAAAACTTCCTAAGACCAGGAAAAGAATTTGACAGACAAGTGAGGAATATAGAATTTCAGTGCCATGATCAAAAGGAAATCTACATCAAGGTACATAATAGTCTAGATTCCACAAACTCAATAGGAAAAAAAATATTAAAAATTGTCAGAGAAAAGAAACAAGTCAGGGCCAGGGATTTAGCTCAGTGGTGCTGCTGCCTGCCTCACAAGTGAAAGGTCCCAAATTTGATCCCTGGTACCAAGAAAAAAAAATCACCTATGAAGGAAAGCCCATGACAATTACAACAGACTTCTCAACACATATACATAAGTCAAGGATAGCTTGGAGTGAAGTATTTCAAGCCCTAAAGGAAAACAATCTCCAACCTAGATTGATGTATGCTGTAAAACTATCTTTCAAAACTGATGAATAAGATACTTCCACGACAAAGAATAGCTGAAGAAATTCATGACCACCAAAGCCACCATCCAAAATGTTCTGAAGAATATTCTAGAAAGAGATAATGAAGGTTAAAATTCATTAACCTCAATAGAATGGATCCAACAGACAAGGCAAACAATTTAACAGAAGAAAAGAAAGGGAACCAACAACCAGAAACTAATATGAGAACAATAAGTCAATACATATCAGTTATAATCGTCAAGGTAAATGGCATCAATTCACCAATAAAAATAAACAGATTGCCAGGATAGATCAAGAAATAACATAGCAAAAAAAAAAAAGAGGGAGAAATAACATACAAAATATGCTGCACACCAGAAACACATTTAACTCAAAAAGAAATTTATAGACTGAAAGTCAAAAGATGGAAAACAATACTCCATGGGAATGGAACCAAAAAAAAAAAAAAATCAGGGGTAGATACTCTATTTACAGACAAGGTAGAATTCAATCCAAGATTAACCAAGACAGACAAAAAAGGTCACTGCATACTTGT